GCCTGAGCTAGGGCCAGGCCCCCTCATGTCTGTACTTTCTTGACACCAGTGACTTGGGTCAGATACGATGACCAAAGGCCGCTTCCTCTTTACAAGGTCATGTGTGATCACATTTCTTTGTGATTTCTGTTATAGCCATTACATACAACGTCACACTCGATGCGGACGCACGTTCATCCAGGGTGACCTCCAGGGGATTGTTTCAAGAAAATAATGAACGATACCTGCAGAAGAACATGGTGGTAAATACAGGAAGCAGGTGTGCTCAGTACACAGTTCAAATACAGGTGAAGCATTCTGTATCTTTTTACACATTTCTTCTTAAAGAATAATAAGCGTGGAAAATATAAAATGGACACTGTATTAGGAAATTCCTGCCCTGCTGATTAACCTTTGTCTTGTCTAATTCCATTAGAATTAGACAGGGAGCACAGTTCCTCTATGCTAATATTTACGGCTACATCCTACTATATGTTAGTGCATCAAATTTTACTAGGGATTGTAATTAAAAGTATTAAAAATACTGTTCTTCAGGAAAGTGAAAATCCAGTGCATTCTTCAATGTTAATTTAAGAGGCAAACTCTAAATTAATAATAGATTCTATTTTGACATTTTTCCATGGAGATAATTTTTATTTATTTTTATGTGACTGAAAATGGTAATTCTAGTTGTTTTTTCTGCTATTGGTTTATATAAGGTAATAGTGGTGGATTGTGGAGTAACGATTGTTTGGTTTAATCTTACGCCATAATTACCACAGTTCTCAGGGATTTTGAAAATCTCCCACATAGGAAAAAAGCCTGTCAGGTAAAACTTTCCAAAATGAGATTTATTTTATAAGTTATATAAAATATTTTCCCTTAGCAACCACATATAAATATTGGAAAGTGTAATTTAATCAGGAAACTAATTTAAAATCAGCCGTTTAATTATTTTCCTAAATATGGTTCTCACAGGCTAAGGTACATAGAAATTGCCAATAAAACATTTATAAAATCTGTATTCTGAGTTTCCACTATCGGAAATTTGGCCTTCAAGGCACAAAGAGAGTGCAGGTTGAGGGACGCGGCAGAGATTCCCAGTGTCGAGAGTTGGTACAGAGGTCA